ATACAGGGGCCAATATACATGGGCCAATATACAGGGACCGTCTGCGCTAACTGCTAATTAATGGAAGAAATTAAAGGACTCAAACTAGCGGCGGTTCGGTCCTGTCTCCGTTCTGCGAGAAGTTGGACTTGCGTTGCAAGCGTTCCCTTGAACACACTTCAAAGTACATGGTTACACACCTGTACTTTGTTCGGTGTTCACCTGCGTATTTTCACTAAAACAGTTCAGTATAAATACCAACTATCTCTCTAATCTCATTTCAAATCTACTAATGTCGTATATGTTTAAATAATATATATATATATATATTTTAGTAGATGTGTTTTTTTTTACCACACCATATTTGCCACACGATTGTATATTCTCCCTCCTATTTTGGCCGTTGCTTGTACTTTGTATCCGCACTCCGTTTCCTCTGTGGTGAAACTCATTCTGTGCGGCCACGATTTTACACTCCTCCTTTTAGTTACCCTTCAATTATTCAGACTCCCTTTCACCTTTTCTTTACTCGTCTTGTCCTTTCTTCTACGCCCTCTTATTCTTCTGTCTCCTTCCGTTTCTTTTCCCATGTCTTCTCTCACTGTCTGTCTCTCCCTCTCTCTGTCTCCCATTCTCGTCTCCTCTCCTCCCCTCTCGTCTCCTCTCCTCCCCTCTCGTCTCCTCTCCTCTCCTCACAAACACTCCCATCACCCCAGGGACTGGGCTTGTTTACTCTGTCTCTTCCACATCTCGGCTCTGTGCAGCTGTGACGGTAATCTTTCTTTCAAATATTTGTTTCTTCCGTCTTCACTTTTACTCTCCTCTGCTCCTGCTTCTTTTTTTTTCCGCCACCGCCGTAATTCCGCCCTTTTTCCTTCCCCCTCTCCTCTGCTCCTGCTCCTTTTTTCGCCGTAATTCCGCCCTTTTTCCTTCCCTGAAGTCCTAAAGTGCGCTCCTTCCAACTTTGCTCCCGGGTACTTTAAGACTTGCCACCTTCGATTCGCGTCTACACGCGGAGACCAAGTGAGCGTGGCAGCCGCTTTTTTTTTTTTGTATAAAGGCACACACCGTCATTTTACTCCGGAGGAATTCAATCAGGCTGCGATATCGCGTCCCTTCTGTTTTGGATGGCTTTTCCATCATTAACCAGTTAGCTCGTCACCATCACTGGGCTGGCTAAGGCTGAAAATCCCCCAGATGATGATGGATTGCTGTAAAATGTGGGTGGCCAGGGGGGAAAGTAATTACTAACTTTGCCTGCGGTGGAAATTTGGCCGATAAGCCCCTCCCGAGTCAGCCAGGTACCATCACCTCAAATAGGTGAGACTCACTGAAGGTCAGTGCAGAATGAAAAGATGTAATGATACCTGCATTCCACACAAACACGCTCTACTTTCACTCTAGCAGGGAGAAAAAAAAAAAAACTTACACCGCATTCTTTTCTCTTTGTGCGAATGGATATAAAGAAATTGTTGGCAGGAAAAATGAGTGCACGCCTATAGATCTTTAAGAGACGACTCGGTTGTTGCTATGGTAACCCATTAGCAAAACCATATGGCAAGGTCAACGGCATAACTGGAAGCAAATAACAGAGGACTCTGAGACAGTGAAACGACGCAGTGATCGGCCCACGGTGACCCCCTGACGACTCGGACCCCCTGCTGGGTTTTTCTGGTCACATTTTTCCGGGGGTTTGCGACGCAGGACCGACTCGGCAGTCACGGGCCCCGCGCGCGCAAGCGTCATATTTAGAGAATCACACACCCATTAGAGATCATATTCACCACCCGGGAGCTTGCAACCATGATCCCCGCACAAGTCATAAAAATCAATGGAGCGCACCGTCAACATAAACGGCTCCTAATGCTCTTCCTGTGCGCTAGGACAAAATTAGATTACAGCTGTGCCCGATAATGGCGGGGGCAAGGCAGGTGAAGGGGATTGGAAATGATGGTAATTGAAAATTAATCGAATGACCCAACGTGGGATCCCGGACATCTGTTAAAACCCCCACAGGTTGCACATTAAAGCACGCAAATAATTACACTGATGGAGAAGTGGTGATCCAGATCGTAACTCCGAAGAACAGGTTATCTGGCCTCAAACCTCGCGCCGTGTTCCCGCGTCTCCCTAATCACTGCTAATCAAATTACACCGCAGCGTTTGTGTGAACGTACATTTAATGACGTAGGTTAAAGATACGATGAAAATATGGGGGGAGGCTCGTTAGTCACCGTTAATTATTTGAGGAATAATAGCCGTAATTATTCGTGGTGGATCGCGATGAATCAAGGCAACAAACATTCTGTATATTGCTTGGATCAAAAAAAAATTTTTTTATTTGTTAATGATCCAAATGATAGAATTATTAATGTGGAAAAATGTCAAAAAAAATTGTCGTCGTAAGTTTTTAAACCGTTTTAAACTCGCCATTAAACCCAAGGAAATTCTAGTCGGGTACGATAAAGTTCTGAATGACAGCGTCTTTATTCACAGAAGTGACGGGAGAAAGAGACACAGAGAGACATGGTCAACCCTGAAATCAGAGTGTAGAAAATTGTAAAAAAAAAAAAAAAATAGAAAGAGACACAGAGAGACATGGTTGACCCTGAAATCAGATTACCAGAATCCAAGAGAGAGTGTAGAAAAATAGTAAAAAAAAAAAATCCTGTTTTAAACTCTAATGGTGTAAACTGATTAATATTTAACCATGACATGTGTTTGGATTAGCGAGTAGCCATGTTGATCTGATTGTCCTTGTCCTTCCTGTCTCCTGGTTAGCATCTGCTCTGCCCTTTGAGGTTTAACATCTATTATAACCCCCAGACAGGTCACAGACTGGGCTCTTAATACAGCTGCTGGGCAGAGATGAGAGAACCAGTGATCGAATGAATGACAAGCGGTTGATCAAAGTCCGTTCGCCGCGGCGCTGTACCGTACAGGCCCAGACACGCGCAGGAAATACTCAGGTTTCCCCTGGGTACTTAGAGGTATTTCATGATGGTTCCATTAGATGAAAAGGGCACACAAACGCCTGCCTGTCTCGCTCTGTCGTAGTTTTTTGACGGCGAACGGATGACAGCGCCGATGTGCACAAGAAGAACTGTATTTTTTGAAATTTTGGTTGTTTTTTTTTTGTTTGTTTTTTTTTTTACAGTTGACCTACATGAGGTAAGCCTTCTAATTCCCAGGGCTTCTCATGCCTCCCATGGTGCCCTATTTTACAGGAAAATATAACAGGCCTGTGCTCTGTTGAACTGAAATGAATACATATCTTCTGCGTTAATAATACAATACAAAATACATACCCAACACTTAACCATTTTGACCTTGAGGCCCATTTTTATATATATATTTTACACTCTATATGTCTAATTGATCTTATTGATAAATTGATTAGTATTCAATAATAAACCAAATCTACGTACAGTTAAAAAAGCAAAGAGCCATATTTGATATTTGGAGTTTGAAGTCGAGATTGTACCTACGCAAAAAAAATGTATCTTTTCTATACTTTTTGCTACAGCTAGAGTAAAAAAAAAAGGGCGAGTCTTCTTCTCTGTATATCAGAGCTTGTATAAGAACTGACTGATGCATTACTGCCACCACATGGTCAAAACCTGCGTTGTCACTGAGCTTCTCATCCATAACGTGTCTCTGGTGTCGTCAGTTGATAACCTATGCTGTCCTGGTGCAAAATTGAACGTTTTTTGGGTCTCTCCAGGTGGCGCTGGTGGCCCAGTTGTGGGCCGCAGCCCTACGGTTAAGAACCACTGTTCTATTACACTGTTTGAGCCACCGATGTGGTGAAAAAGTTTGTGGTGGGTTCCGATGGTAGATGAGATGAGATAAAAAAAAAAAAAAAAAAAAACCCCCGAACCAGTTCCTTAGGGTAATCTGGTCACCATGGGGATGAGACAAACCGTATTATCCGCTCAGTGGAGGCCTGGCACATGGAATTGCTTGATGGAGAGACAGGATGTCGACAAGATGAGACAAGTTCGCCTTTAATGTTGATAGCATTTTGCCGTCTATGACCTTATTTCGTGTGCCTAAATGTGTGACTGTTCTCTTCACTTGTGAAATGTCTTAAGGGAGCTCAAAGTCTCTTTGCACCCGACATCGAGAGAGAGAGTAGTTAACTTTTGTTTTACCACAGCACTGGACTGGACATTTTGGACTGTCATCATCACGTGTTTTTCATTAGCGTGGCACGTTAGATAGCAAGCGTCTTCTGACAAATCAAGGGTAAAGTGATGGGGTATCATACCTGGCTGTGAGGTCTAAGACACTGATTTTGCCTTATTTTTAGCACCGTGTAGCTCATAGACGTCTGACGTAAACAATGCCCGATATTTAACTTTTTTTCTTTTTTTTTTTCCAGGGAATGTGGGGAATTGTTACTGAAATGCAGTAAACAATAAAATATGTGTAAATAACTCAAGCAATTCCTAATGGGGCGGACGGCCTTTTTGGTGAATTTGTCCTACATAAAGTACTAATCCCTGAAGCACACACAAAAAAGGGAAGACAGAAAGAAAAATCATTGCAATACCTTAGAATTGAGCATAGTCATTTTTTTTTATTAGGTTAGAATTTTTGTACTTCAGTCAAGCTAAAGAGAAAATATAAAAAATACAAAAATACAAAAAAAAAAAAACCCTATTATTCGACATGTGTGCTACAAAAATTGATCTTTGTGTCTTTCTTTAATTCCTGTGAGTACTTCAGTGTTGTGTTCAACTAAACAGGCACAGATTTCTTTTCTTTTTTTTTTTCAAAATAAATGTGTGCTCCAGAATTGTGAGATTTTTCTAATTTAAAATAAGAAGTGGCGGAAGACTGTCATGTAAGGTATTACAAACCATCTGTGGAATTTGTGGTAAGATCAGAGAAAAACAACACATGCACTAACTGACAACCTATGGTTGACTTTGATTTCAGCTCATTGTGGAAGCGAAGGTTTTGCCTATTGTTACATTCCTTGTCTTCATTTTCTGTTTTTCATTCCTCTCTTTCAGGCGTTCCAAATAACATCGGTCCAGTCAGTAAGTAAACCATTTCAAACAGCACCTTCTGAATGCTATGCCGCTTTGCTTTGCCTGCTCTGCCACCCTCCAGCAAACATTCACCTGAACTTTATGCCAATGTTCATTCCTGATCCAGTCATCCCAAAAAAAAAAAAAAAGCAGCCTTTGGTGGGAGGGGGTTTTATTAGTATAGTAGATGGCGCTACATACATTGTCATGATCTGGCCATATTCCGTTTTTTTTTTTTTTTTTTTTCCGACTCCCGGATAACAATCAAGCGACTCTGCATGTGAAATCCCATTTGTTATTTTTCTCTCTTTTTCATCCATTATAAATAAATGGCATCTAGACTTTATTAAAGTGCCAGTATAATGTCAAAGGAGGTCATTTTAATATAGGCCGCAAGCGCCTTGGCTGGTATTATCTTCGTCAACCAGTCGCCCCTGGGGAGGAGGAGGAGGAGGAAGAAGAGAGGTGCCATGACTCAGATTACCACTGCCTGGAAGGCGGTGTGACGCAGGACACTATATGGACTGTATTAAACAAGTCAAAGTCCAATGTCCCCCTTAACTGCTGTCCCTGAGTCTGTAAGCCCAATCCCAGACCTTAACATTTAATAATAAGTATAACTCCGTTATAGTTATTTTAATAAATATTTGAAATAACTATTAATTTAAAGTCTATAGAATTTTAGCAGGTATCAGCGGTAAAAAGAAGAAAAAAAAAATGGCACTAAATTTAAGATATTAATTGTATTATTTACCTCAGATTTTTTTAATTTTTAAAAAAAAAAAAAGTTTATAAAATTTTTCAATTGAATATTATTCACCTCAAATCCAGATTGTTGCTGTCGTTAGGATCGGCTAAGAGCTCCCCGCAAACCGCGCGTTTAATCGTCTTGTTTAAGCACTGAGGCGATTGTTGGGTTGGGCACAGTCCAAACGTTTAAGAGAGCGGCGTGGACTGCGAGCAGATTGTTCCCAGGTGGTTTTTAATCAGGCATTAGAGCGTTGGCTTACACAGAATGTGAGCGCTGGTTATTAAGTCGGATGCTAAGGCATGATTCAGAAATGGACATGTGGCCAGGAATGCAAAACCACTAACCCACCCCACTCGCCCCCCCCTCCTCCCCCCCTGCTGTTCTCCCATCACCTGTCTCCTCTCCCACTTCCGCACTTCTTTGAGATAATGCTTCTACCACATGCATGGCCTGTGCTCCCTGTGCATGACTGTGTGACTGTGTGCATGTGATCCACACATGCAGTGTTTACAGGCACATACATATTCACATTGTTCCTCATTGTGCCATCAAAATGCCAGGCCACACCATGTCCAATGGCTGTCCTCAAATCCTTTTACTGGAAGAGTGTGCATGACAATAAGAGTGTGAGCGTGTGTGTGTGTGTGTGTATTGGCTAAGAGTTGGGTGTTTGTTTGAAAAAAAAAAAAAAAAAAGAGACACTTCGATAAACCAAATGTCTCTACTTCACTCGATTGGCCTTCAGGTTTTTTGGTTTCCTTTCACAGCTGTTTTTCACACGTGACAAAAAAAAAGTGACAGGGGAAAAAAAAAAAAAAAGGAGGGTGAGAGTGTTTGTGCTAAAGTCTTGTTCATGCCTCCGTTCCAAATAAAGTCGAGCGTAGAAAAAGATAGAAATTGCATAATGCCAAAGGCTGCTGTACTTCACGGAAATAAAGCTGTGACTCATGTTCCCAGTTCATGAGCCGCATATTGGTCAAGCCATATATCTCTTGGTGTATATAAATATATATGTAAATATATATGTAAATATATGCATGTGCATATATACATGTATATCCAAAAAAAATCTGGATTATTCATCAGTTAATCTCAATTAATCATGATTAATTGTGATGAATCAACATTAAAGAATTGCAAGATAAAAAATTTGAAAAAAGATTGTGACTCATCCAAATGGTTCAATTATTAATGTGGAAAAAAACAAAACAATGATCAACAGTACAACTGGAATTTAGTCATTAGTGTCCTTAGTTTGCAAAATGCTTTGAAAAGTTTCTTTAAAAAAACTTTGTTGAAGCCAGTTTCTAGAGCAGCATTAATTAGTCCACAGTTCATATATTAATATCACCAATGAGAGGTCAGTTTGACGTAAAACCGAGCGCTTAGCCCAGGCATGGGCAAACTAAGGCCCCGGGGGGCCAGATGTGGCCCGTTTAGCTTTTGAATCCGGCCCGCCAAACCTTTTAAAATGATCATTTTACTATTGCCTTTTCCCTGCAATACCCATGTTTCCCCAGTAGATGGCGTAGAAAATGATATTTTTTTTGCATTTTAACCTTGATGTTTATCTTAGTCCAAACAAACGTTCCATCTATCTCCTCCTGACCCCGCCCCCGTGTTCAATTTTAGGACAATTGTGGCCCGCGAGACAAAGCGTTAGCCCACGCCTGGCCTAGCCTAAAGCTGAAGCCTCGGTAAAATGCATGCTGTGCTTCGAGATGGTATTTTAAGCTTGACTTTAAAGATTTCAATTTGATCATTTCCGAAGATGAATCAATGAGATTCACACTTTGATTTGACACCCTTGATATTGGAAAAAATATTTATTAATTTGGGGGGGGGGGAAAACGGCGTTTCAGGTTTGCCTCTTCATCTGCGCAGCTTATGTTCGGTTCAGCTTTATTTCCATGAAATACAATAATATAACTTAATACATAACAAGTGAGGCTACGCTGGCTCCGTAGGGGTTAGCTTATTAAATCACCTCGTCAAAATAATGAATTAATTGTGTAATTAATGAAAGACAGATTTGTGCTTTATCCAATCAATTTCCAATCTGTTATAATCCAAATACACTTACTTTCCATTAATTAAAAAAAAAAATAGAAAAATAGATCAGAGCTGTTTTGTCACGTGTTATAGCTTCTAATTAAGAATTCACACATTTTGCTGTCAGACAGATTTTTATTTATTTTTTTTTTTTTTGTCCTCCCAGGGGCCATTTTTGTGATAAAAAGGAATAATATTAAAAAAAATGAAATTATTAAGAGTAAACATCTTGCAGGTTTCTGGCAGTCATTTTTTTTTTTTTTTTTTTACTTTTCTTTTTTTAAAATGAATTTGTTATTCTGTTGTTTGAATCAGCCTCTAATCGAGCAGGTGCGATGAGTTTGACGCACAAGAGGTTTGGCAGTCATTACTGGTGACAGAATCCTTGATCTGGATCCAAAGTGAAACTTTTAGGGCGGCTACCTAAAAGCGAACCTGTTGGATTTTACCAGAAATGAAAAAAGTTGTAGTCGAGTGTGTATAAATGTACGGTTTTCTTTGGGTTTTTTTTTTTTTCTTTTTTTTTAAAGGTCTTTGCCTTTTGATGAGTCGTCTTTTCAGCTTCGGAGGCTTTTTGCCAAGACACCAGTGGATGTTAATTACCCAAGATTGCATGATTAATGGTGTCAGTGGCAAAAGGACAGAAAGATCAAGTGAAGAGATTAAGGGGGCGCTGTGAGAAAACGTATCCATATTCCGCTCTTTGCCTGGGCCCCTCTCCATTTCCGACCGCAAAGTATTTCCCTGACACGGAAATACCGACTTGTATGTAATTATGAGGTTATGCTGCCCACAGCAGTCCGTCATTCCAAGTTCCAACACCTGCCATTATTTATTCATTGTTATTCCTCCGCTAGAAATACACTGTAATTAGATATTGATTGCATAGTCGATGTGATGAATTAAACAAAATGCCCTCGACGTCTTAATTTGGTATACATTGTTCCGACTTGCCTGCATAAATCATGACTTAACTACAAAGTTACCAAAGGGTTTGCTCGTTCATTTCGTTTCTCTTTACTTCCGTTTTTCCACTCATCTATCTCATCTCCATACACACAGCGAGGCCATGGAAATGGTAGAAATTACATACAATGATTTTTTTTTTCTCCCCCCCCCCCCCCAATGTCTTCCCCACTGGGTCCTTGGATGCATTCCTCTTCGCTCGTCCATGTCAGACCTGCCCCCCCCCCCATTGTATTTATTGTTACCCGACTAACAGATTGGATCCATGCCGGACATGTCCATGTCTGCAGTCTTGTGTGTTCACTACCACGTAGCCACCTTAGCCCCCCCTCTAGATCTGTACACTACATCCCCAAAGTGCACATGAGTAACTCCTGGTTTCTCTCGCAGTCCGGCCGAATGTGTCATCCCTAGGTGCCGCTAACCGAAAAGAAGGTAGGCATTTAAGATGATGCAACCGCTACATTTTTTTTTTTCCCCCCTTGCTAACCTTGTGTGTACAGGTGATCCTCGACTTACGACAGACTTCCGTTCCGTTCTTAGGCTGCGACTTAACTTGATTTTCGCCCGAAGAACTTATACTCTACTTAAGTATCTACGTCACTCACCGACTCTAACTGCATATTCTAGGACATACGTGTCAAACTCAAGGCCCAATGTGGCCCGCCAAGCTGTTTTGTGTGGCCCGCGGGAGCTTAAAAAGCATTTAGTAAAGTCCATGCAGCAGAGTTTCTGAACCTAAGAAATTGAAAGTATTTATTACCAACCAAATAATAATCAGTTGCAGAAACATGTATTAGTCTGTTACGGAGTAGTTACACCCCAACCTTTTTTGTTCCAAGGACTGGTCAGCCAGTACCACCCGTTACTACAGACCGGTAGCAAGATACTGCGCATTGAAGGATCTCAAAATTTGCAAAATAAAACTTCTTTTAGAGTCTTATTTTGTTTGTATCAGTCTGAATGACCTGTTATTTTAAAATACTGCCAGATTATCTCAAAATAAATAAAGTAAATGTATATGACTGATTTACTTTGAATGAAGTAAATTAGTAAAAAATTAAGTACATTTTTTCACTGCGGCCCAATACCAAATGACCTATGGACTGGTACTGGTCCGCACACCAGGGGTTGGTGGCCCCCGGATCTATACAGTCTTCCAGTTACAACCGGCCCTTCAAGGGGAACTGTACTGCTAATGTGGCCCCCGGTGAAAATGAGTTTGACACCCCTGCTCTAAAATGTAAAGTGTATTTCTGTATACCGTGATGTATGTACTCAATATGGTTGTTTTCTTCTTTGGTCTAGTCCGCATCTTCCGCGTATATTGCCGCGTAACGACATATTCGTCCACTCTGCTCGCCGACTAGTTCTCATGTGGACTGAATTTTAATTTTAAACGCCATACCTCAGAATGATGGACCAAGATTGTCTTAATAAATTTATGGTAGATGGCGAAGTAACCAACGAAACGCTGTAGCTCGATAACGTTGTAAACCGAGGATCCCCTTGTATACAGAAGTCGATGATTTATTTTTTATTTGTAGCATCTTGATTCTTAATAGTAGAGGTTTTGTATTTTTGGGGGGCACTCATGATACTGTGAAATCATAGTATTAAGTATGTAGTATGTGGAGACTTTGTGGTGAGCAACAGTGATTCGGCAGTGATTTTACACAAAGTGATGGCAGCGTAACTTATTCTGTTAATGGGACGCGCGGCTAGCTTTAGCAAAGAGTGGCACATAGATACGCGGATCTGTATTTCCACGACCGTAGCCAAGCGCGAAAAAGCGCGGGGGGGGGGTGGAGAGGGGGCTCATGTCACTTAGAACCACGGCAGGGGGGCCGCTTGTTTTCCCTTATTTGTTTTATGACCGTAAAGGAACGGAGGGACCGTGTGTGTTCGCTAGCCTCCTCGTCTTTCTCGCTTACGCTCCTGTGCACAAATCTGTGTCGTAGACTTTTTGGCTGGCGTCCAGAGCGATGTGGAGAGCAGCTCGTCAGGGGACGATTTCTGTCCGGGAAAACGCACGCAGCAGCTTCTGGATTACATGAAGCGCTTGTTAATCAAATGAAGCGTTAAAGGGAAACCATAATACTTAAATTATTGGTCATTAAATGCATTTGCAACAGATGCCGCTGTGCGCAGCCAACTCCACTTGGCAACGTCACTCCTTATTTCCCAGTGCCATCATTCATCATTATAGCATGTTTCTTTTATTTATTTACAGTATCATTTATTTGAAAAAAAAAAAAAAAAACACGGTATAAGAACATCTTTGACATTACATAATTTTTTTGTTTTTGTTTTGTTTTGTTGATGTTCTACTTTATTCCTTCATTGGTCAAGTAGCTCCTCAAGTTGCATTGTGCACACTGCCGCTTCTGTCCGCACCGCAAACACCCGGCGAGGTAGGATCTCTGGAATGTGTTTACCGTATGGTCTCTCTCAAGTTGTTGCCTGAAGACTAATCCCCCCGACACTGACTCAGAGCAGGTGCAGACCATAGCATCCATATCTGTGGCTTAGTGCAGGACTGGTGGCTCGCTGTCTCTCCGCGTTTCTATGGAGGGCACATCTATAGAATCGTTTCTAAAACACTCCTTTGGAAACAGTCCTTTGGAATCATATCCTTTTGGAGCAAAAAAAAAAAAATGGGGGATTGAGCCTACGACTATTTTTGGGAGTGTTTCCGAGACTGGAGACTTTTTATTACCTCCATGTTGCATGATTTATGACCTCAGCCTATTTCTGGGGGAGAGATGATTTGTCTTGTGAGAGTTCAGTCTCTAATAAAGAGAGTTTACACCCAGACAAGACTCTCTGTTTTAGGGGAGCAGTCGGGTGGACTAAGTTAGAGCTTAAGACGTGGGTCCTCGGTTCCAACAGCCTTGCGGGGCAGTTGGTTTGTTAGGCCAAAAACTGACCTCAATACCCATTCCAAATAACTACAATCCCTTGGATGAAAGCCTCGTTTATTCTGGATCTGGGAGTCGGCTTTTTTTGTCCGAGTGAGGCTTAAGGGTCGCATCGGTCTGCACCATGACACATGGTGTCAGTGGTCACTCAGCCTGGCAAAATGATCCTCACCGTGAAGAGCTGTTCTGTGCCGGCCACCGTGCTGCCCCTTAATATAGGGGTCGATGGACACTGCTGCCACCTTTATTTCATTAGAGGGCCAAATAATTGTTCAAAGTTTAATAACAAACAGACAATATAGGAATATATATGTGTATATATATATATATATATATATATACACATATATATGTATATTTATATATGTGTGTATATATATGTATGTATATACATATATATATATATATGTGTGTATATATATGTATGTATATACATATATATATATATGTGTGTATATATATGTATGTATATACATATATTTATATATGTATATATGTGTGTATATATGTATGTATATACATATATATATATATATGTGTGTATATATATGTATGTATATACATATATTTATATATGTATATATGTGTGTATATATGTATGTATATACATATATGTGTATATATGTATGTATATACATATATATATATATGTGTGTATATATATGTATGTATATACATATATTTATATATGTATATATGTGTGTATATATGTATGTATATATGTATGTATATACATATATATGTATATATGTATGTATATACATATATATATATATATGTGTGTATATATATGTATGTATATACATATATATGTATATATACAAAAGAATTAGTTCAGGACAACGAAAGGAAGCTATTCATTGATTCCAAGAATGATTTTTACAATATATTTGATCTGGATGTTGGGGGTTTTGCGGCCCCGAACTGGCCCCCGCAGCCATGAGTTTGATACTCCTGCTCTAAGTTCAAGGCTGTCAACAGTGATTATCAAGTACTGCAGTGACAGATTTTCACTCAAACAGAAACTACATAGTGCCAGTTTAGCATATTTTAACACTGTATAATGGGCAACGACACGTTCTCTGAACTCAACAGATGTTTTTTTTTTTTTTTTTGCTTTGATAACAACCCTCGCAGGAAAGTTTCCTTAAAACAAGCCCTCAAATTAAAAAAAAAAAATTGTTGCTACTTTAAAAAAAAATAATTGCTTCACAAGTTTTTATTTTGACTTCTTGGACTGGGAAAAAAATATCTCGTTATGTTTTTCACCGGTTCGTAAATTCCAAAGGCGAAATTTTCAGTCTGTTCCCTCTCTCTCTTTCTTTCTCTCTCACTCTCTCTCTCTCTCTCTCTCATTGTGTCAAACCAGATAAAGCACATGTAAGATCTTGATTGTACGAAGAATAAACTGGATTTTTGTTGCCTGGGTGTGTGCAGCCATTTCATCCATGGTTTGACCTGCCTCTCGCTGTTTGCCGCTCCTCTTGTGACCATGTCTCCGCCATCATTTCACGGTCTCTCCTCGCCTCTTGTTGTGGTGTGTTTGCAGTGTGGTGATCCGTCCAAGTCCTACTACTAATGCTCTGCTTTTCGATGTGCTGTCTCTTACTGGTTCAGGCTGTGTCCATGCCAGACTAATCATAAACAGCCCCCCTTGGTGTCATCCCCCATTCTTGACATCTCTCCTGCCTAACGACGCAGTGTCTTTATTATTAAACCTTGCATGCCTCACTTAAGTTCTTGCCAAACCCACCGCCGTACACTCGCAGCAACAGCAACGATCGTGTCAAAACGCCATCAATCCCTCACACTGCTTCTCTCTTTGCAAGACTGCGAGTGCTTCGGCCACTCCAACCGGTGCAGCTACATCGAGCTGCTAAACACCGTCATTTGTGTGAGCTGTAAGCACAACACTAGGGGCCAACACTGTCAGCTATGCAAGCTGGGCTACTACCGCAATGTCTCGGCGGAACCGGACGATGAAAATGTTTGCATAGGTCAGTCC